AAACCATCTTAAGAACAGATCTGATACAATGAGCACTGACAACTGAAGGCCAGGCAAGGTGCAGAATAACACCAAGAAAGGAAAAGGACAAATAAAGACCAAAATGAGTGTTGTAAAAGAATCAGAAAGTGGCTCTAGATCACAGAGAAGCTAAAGTGAAAGGAAGGAATGAAAATTGTAAAGAGTTGAAGAGATGATTTTGAGCAGTGGTTCAAAAAAAACAAAGTCTAAAACTCTGCAGCCTTGAACTTAAAAAAAATAAGAGTAGAAGATGCTTAGTCTTGTTTAAGATAAAGAAATGAAGGAAAATATCAAGCCTTATGTTGCAACAATGAAATATTTCACAGGCAAAATGTTAAGCAACATAAAAAGTGCCAAAAGGAGGAAAAAGGAATACAGAGTTACTATACCAGTGAACTTGATGACATTCTGTCATTTCAGCAGGTAGGTGGTTGTTATGTGCCATCGAGTTGCTTGCAACTCACAGCGACCCTATGTATGAGAGCTCTAAACGCCGTTCTATCCTGTGCCAAACTCGCTGTCTCAAACGCACTTATTCCCACCACTCCAGTCACAGAATCGATCCATCTCATCAAACGTCTTCCTCTCCTTCGCTGCGCCTCCACTCTGCCAAACATGATGTCCCTCTCCAAGGACCAGTCCCTCCTTGCAACATGCCCAAAGTATGTCAGATGAAGCTTCAGAATCCTTGACTCCAAGGAGCATTCCAGCTTCACCTTCTCCAGGACAAACCTGTTTGTTCTCCTAGCAGTCCATGCTATATTCAACACTCTTCTCCAGCACCACAGCTCAAAGGCATCAATTCTCTATCATCCCTATTCACTGTCCAACTCTCTGATGCAGAGCATGTAATTGCGAAGACTACAGCCCAGATCAGGCGCACCTTATTCTCCAGCCTGATGTCGTTGCTCTTCAGTACTCTTGAGAGGCCGCTCACAGCTGACTTTCCCAATGCAATTCGCCTCTTGATTGCCTGGCTGCTGTTACCAAGAGTGTTGATTGTGGAGCCAAGAAAACTAAACCTGTTAACTATCTCAATCTCTTCACCATCCATACTGATGCTGCCAGTGGTGAGAATCTTTGTTTTCATGATGTCGAGCTTCAATCCATATAGGAGGCTGCAGTCCTTGACCTTCTGCAGCAAGCGCCTCAGGTCCTCCTCAGTTTCAGCAAGCAGGGTTGTGTCATCTCCATAACACAGGTTGTTGATGATTCTTCTACCAATCCTGATGCCACATTCCTCCTTGTACAGCCCAGGGTCTTGGATGATCTGTTCTGCATACAGATTGAAAAGGTATGGAGACAAAATACATCCCTGATGAATCCCCTCCTTGATTTTGAACCATGTAGTGTCTCCTTGCTCTGTTCTGACGACTACCTCTTGGTCCAAGTACAGGTTTCGCATTAGCACAATCAAATGTTCTGGGATTCCCATTCTTCTCAGAGTCAGCTACAGCTTGTTGTGATCCACACAGTCAAAAGCCTTTGCATAGTCAATAAAGCACAGATAGATATTCTTCTGGTATTCTTTGCTTTCTGCCAAGATCCATCTAACATTAGCTATAATATCCCTAGTACCACGACCTCTTCTAAATCCAGCCTGCACATCTGGCAGTTCTCTGTTGATATATTGTTTCCAAACGTTTTTTGGATCATTTTCAGCAGAATCTTGCTTGCATGTGATATTCATGATATTGTTCGATAATTTCTGCACTTTGTTGGGTCACCTTTCTTTGGAATGGGAACAAATATTGATCTTTTCCACTCAGTCGGCCAGCAGGCTGTCCTGCAGCTTTTTCAGCAGGTAGCATAAAAAAAACCTGATAATACCAAAAGAAGGCCAAGCTGCACTGAAAGCATTTGTGAAAAATAAGCATCTAGGAATTGACAGAATATCAACTGAGATGTTTCAACAAATGTGAGAAGCTGGGAAGACAGTAAACCTCAACTTCAAGAGCTTGAGACCAGAAGAACACTATGGTCCCTGGCTACTACCACAGACCATTCTAAAAGAGACGGAAGACTCTTGATGCAATTGGGGGAAATGTGGAAACAAATCATGAAAAAGTCAGGTTTACCACTCCAACTGATTCCAGGGAAAGCCACAAGACTATACCCTTTGGATCACTCCTTGAACCCGAAACAAAACTCATGTCTCTGTGGCTCAAATTTTAATTAAACAACAGATCAATGAGGTGTCCAACAGCACCAGAGAGCTACTCACTCCTTACAACAATCAACTATACAGGCTGAAAGGGCAGCATCTGCTCAAGAATGAAGCCTTGTAGGCAGGAAGGATAGAAGAGTTAAAGGAAATGAGAATTATAGAGAAGAAGTAGGGAGAGTATAGTGTTTTTCCATTCTGAATATTGTAATTAATATTATAAACAAAATGCATTTGAGTGGTTAAATTAGTAATCAATTCGTTTTGTAAACTTTCATTCAAATAACAACAGAAAACAAAATCATTCCAAAGAAAGGTGATTCAACACATTGTGGAAATTACTGAATAATATCCTTAGTAACAGATGAAGGTAAAATCTTATTGAAAAGAATTTTTAAATGGATGGAGCTGTCAGAATCCAAGCTGGACTTAAGAGATGTGTAAAAAGGGGTATCACTGTTGATAGCAGATTGATTTTGGCTAAATATAGAATATAGTAGAAAAGTATTATCATGGACTGTATTACATGCCCCACAAAATACATGTATTTAATTATATAATGTGGATTCTACGTAATGATAGCCTACGAAAAGATAAACCCGGCAACTCGCTTTAATTCCATCACAGCTATAACCAGATGAAAGGGACCTTCCTCAAGTCTAAAAACTTACTGTCAAGTCAGAACCAACTCACAGATGACCATCCAACAGCGGTTTTTCAGAGGCTGTAAATTGCAAAGGAGATTACCCATATTTCTCCCAAGGAGGGGCTGTGGATTTGAACTGCCAGAGAAGTGCTGCTTTTGGGTTACGAGCACAACTCCCTATTGATGACACCAACTAGAGTTTATCAGTAGGTTTTATATATATATAAATTTTTTTTGTAAAAAGGAGGAAAAGGGGTGCCTCATTACCAGCAAGAAAGAAATGCCAGTAATGGAGCAAATAATTTTCTAACTGAGACACTGAGAAGCTGATACCAGGAAAGCTGGGACACATGGAGACCACCAAGGAATGCCTGGCTTACAGATGATGAAGCTGAAGGAAAGATTTTCCTCCATAATCAACAGCCCTCCCATAGAGCTGTCTCTCTGGATTTGGACTCTGTGCCTTCTAAACTCTAAGCGAATACATTTCTGTTTGTTCAAGTCATCCACCTGTGGTGTCCCTGTTAGTGAATACCAGATCCCTAAGGCAGATGTTTAGCTGTATTTCGTTGACTATGTAAAGACATTCAACTGGGGAGGATAAAAATTATGGCTAATAAGGGAAAAAATGAGAAATCTCAAACACTTAATTGTGTTCATACAGAACATGTACATTGTCCAAAAGCAGTCATTCAGAACAAAGGGCAATGTTGTTAGGTGCCATCAAGTTGAGTATGACTGGATGACAACAGATCTGAACCCTGTCCTGTGCCATCCTCACACCTTCACACTAGAGCCCACTGTGGCAGTGACTGTGTTAATCTACCTGGTGGAAGGTCCTCCTCTCCTTCGCCAACCCTTCACTTGCACTCTGTAGCCAGAGTGCTCTTTGGAGGCAAGGATAATGAGGCTTTGCCTCACATTCTTCAGGTATGCTGGTAAGAGGGGCTATTCCTTGGAGAAGCACATGATGCTAGGAAAGATAGAGGTGGAAAGGGATATGACATGATTTAAAATCAAGAAAGGTGTGCATCAAGGATCTCTTCCATCATATCTGTTCAATCTGTATGCTGAACAAATAATCTGAGAAACTGGGCTGTATGAAGAAATGCATATCAGGACTGGGGAAGATTCAATAACCTGTAATATACTGACAGACAAATCTACTGATGAAAAAGATCTGAGAAACACTTAGTGATAAAGATCAAAGACTATAATCTTCATTATGTCAGCATAAAGAAAACAACTAGACCAATAAACAACATTATGATAAATGGAGAAATGACTGAAATTGTCAAGGATTTAACTTTATCATCGATACTCTGGGAAATAGTAGTAAAAGAAGCCACCAATGTACTGCATTACAAAGGGCAAATATGAGGCAAAGGACCTCTTTAAAGTGTTAAAGAGCCTAGATATCATTCTAAGGAGTAAGGTATGCCTAACCCATGGTAGTTTCAATGCTGTCATGTATACATGCAAAATGGACTATATGGGAGATCAAAGAAGAATTAATGCCTCTGAGTGGTGTTAGCAAAAAATACTGACTGCATCATGGACTGCTGAAGAATAAACAATTTGTCTTAGAAGATACATAGCCAGAATGCTCTTAGGATCTTAGTATCAGGGGCAAATTTGGGAAAGAGAGCGTGAAAAAGACCCTCAATGAGATGAACTGACAAAGTAGATTTAAGAAAGAAGAGGGGGGAGTCTTAAGCAACAATAATTGTGCGGATGGCAGAGGGCCAGACAGCATTTCAATTCTGTTGTACTAAGCATCACTATGAATTGCAATCAACTCAACAGGCCCTAACAAGATGGAGAGCAGGGAGTGTAGGTGTCTGTCTGCTTCTCTTTTGGATTATAAACTATTTTCAAGGCTGCCAGATGTTTGCAAATGGTCTTCCCTCAGCAACTGTTCATCTACCATGTTCCAGCAAAGGAGGTCACTATATATTTTTATGAAAGGCAAGGGGAGATTAACACGTGATGCCCCAAGAGAACATCACGTGCAGTCAAGTAAATCTTTCTAAATTACAGGGACTCCAGAGCTCAGAGCTTTGTCTCTACCTAAAATCTAAAAACAGAAACACCACAATAGAAACCTGGTATCTACTTCCAACAAAATCCAACGTAGTTATTTCTCAAACACTGGTGCTCATCATTTACCTGAGGACAGAGAGCTTCTAACTGGCTTGCAGACATTCGGACAAGCTTCACACCTTCTTCATTGTTTGAAATGGAACAGGCCAGGTTGGCAACCTGTAAAAGAGAACAACATATAAAGATCTTTGATGATTTTTGTCATTTGATTATTAAGAGAAACAAACATAAACGCACCCCAGCCTCATCATCTTGACCATTCTAGCATAGAATGACAAGTACGTCAATGATCTTTCTCAAAAATTATTATCAGATTAGGAGGACACATTTTTTAGCACTACACTAGGCAAACTACATACACTTGTCATCAGATCACAACATGGGCTAGAGATAGACCCTGAAATAGGCCAAGGACCTGTAGCTCAAGTAATCTGTGTGTAAACTAAAGTCATTCTGAAAGGAGATTCTCCTGGAACGGTAATGATGTTTAAAAAGCAGAGGAGTCAACAGCATCAGGACTGAGTTGTTAGTAATCAACAAGAATAAGGCATTGCAAAGAAATAAAATGCATTGGAAAGAAATAAAAAGTCCAAGTTATTATTCTCATCTGACAGGTGAACAGATGGTTACTTTAAGCCAAGATGAATTTTAAAATAAGAAGTTGGTTGCGGGACCATCTTCATTTAAAAAAAAAAAAAAGGAAAAATAAACAGGGATGGTGTCCTATAGTTAAGAGCAAAACTGTCCTTCAACTGTGCTCTCAAAAACAAAGACAGTTAAACTCTTTCCTGCTGTCTCATGGTATAGCTCATGTATAATAAGTACAGCAAGAATCAGTCTTTATACATTGTGTCATAAGCCCTCTGCTGAAGGCCTAGTTGTGCTAAGAATGCTGTTCTGTGGTGACTGCTAAAGCTATGATCACTTATATGAGTTTCTAAATGAGTAGGCTTGCCAATTCTATTAGCAATACTGGAGCTGAACTGAATCCACAGTGCTGAACACAGCTTACCCCAGTTGCAAACTGAGTTATGAACGAGAGAGGTGTAAGCAGCTGAATACCAAAGGTACTTTCTGGGAATTTAAATGCTGGAGTAAACAAGGGTAATGGCAAAAACCTCTGATTTTCACTTCCATCCAACTTAGTCACATAATAGAACAAAAAAAATTCTTTCCTATTATGGGTGTTTGCAGTGTTACAGTCTAGGGTTATTAGCTTCCTAGTAAGACTGCTATCTAATATCTAGAATTCTACTCACATCGTAAGACAAAGGAGTCAACCTGGAATTTGAACCTAAAAATGTAAGGAAGTGAAAAAGTAAGCTTTTTCTTTACTGTTTATGGGGCATTCAAAAATCACACAAAGTAGGAATTCTTGTGCTCACTTGGCATTAACTTCTGATGTCAGCTGGATTAGAGCAAAGACAATTCTATCATGACAATTCACAGTGCTGATCACAGATTTCTATTTGTTAGTTTAAACATCATTATAAAATATGATGCAAACATAATTTTAGAAAACTTTTTTTAACCACCAAAGAGTGTATTTTATGATGTAACACTAAAAGAGAAATTGTAAATTAGATGTGTTCTTGAAAGGGGATCTGTATTTATTCTTTCACAGAAAAAAAAACACCACAATATAAATTTCATGTTGATCATGGATTGAGAAGTCTGGGAATCACAAAGATCTCTGGAGAGGCCAATATGCTGACACTCAAAACCCGGACCCACTCTCATGGTTTAGGAGGCTAGCCAATAAAAGGATAGATTCAAAAAGGTCAGGCACTGTATTTCTGCCTTCTCTAGTCATTTTATTTATATTCTTTCAATTTTACATATCCTTAGAACTCAGAAAAAAAAATACTTATGCTAAAAACAAAAGATTATGTTAAGTAAAAACTACTGCCAGGTCAGACATCTAAGGGTGTTGTGTGGCTAAGGCTTGAAATGGCTGACTTCTTTAAATCATCTTTTTTTATTTCCTGGTGTTTATTTTAAAACATTACTTAAAAACATTTCTGATGCACTGTGGGAGCAGTAATGTTCTACAAGTGTACACTGCCTGTTCCAGGAATCAGCCTGCCCTGTCAGGATGGAGGAAGCGAGTGTCTGTCATTGCCAGTCTTCTCCAGATGAATGCACTTCATTTTGCCCCTCAGGGACAAGGCTATTCATGTTTAACAATGACAAATGTGCAAATCCAAAATATCTTTGAGGCTAACCTCATAACATTACTGCTATGTTTCACTACTGTGAAAGTTATAGGACACTGAAAGGGTCCTCAGCGGAAAATTTGAGCCTCTAGAAATCTGAGATAGCAGTTAAGTCTGAGACTAAAAGAGATGTTAAAAAGAAGTTTGACGTAAAAACATTCAGAACAGCTAACTTTCACAGAAGAGTTAGTATATTCAAGACTCTGGAAAGAGATGAGCCATTATCTCTAGAATTGTTCTGGGAATAAATTACTGTATCTTTGCTACCACAGTAAACAGGAACCCTGCCTGGTGGCCACGTGTAAGGCATTAACGCTATTGAACTATAGCTTGGTGATTAAAGTAGTCCACCAGCTGCTCCTGGGGATATAGATTTCTTCCAAAGCAATTTACAGGCTCTGAAAACCCTCTGAAAGTCAGTTCTGACTTAAAGTTTTGACCACAGTAATTTCTGTATTAATCATTTAAATGTTTAATTCGTCATAAACCAAGAGAATGATATAATTCACACTATGTGATCATATGCTCTGAGTGATGACGCCTCTTTTGCGTGGCTTCTGCCTATCCTGGCTAAGTGTGGATCAAGATTTCAGAATGATCTCCAATGTACCAGCCCCTAAAAAAGTCAATCAGCCCTGAAGTCTTGCTGGTCTCAAGATTAGCTAAGTAAAAAATCCAAGTTTCGAAAAAGGCTTGTGCCACATCAACAAACATGACATCTATACATGAAAAAAACCCTTGTTTAGTCACTTTGGCAATCTCTATTTTTACCTTACACTGGATTTTCATAACTTAAAATTTCTTAAAACTAAATTCTGAACTGGGGGGGAAAATCTCTTTATGATAATTTTCACTCCATTATGTTAGAGTTGACAACTAAAATAAATAAAAGTTTAAATCTGCTTAAGTCAAGCAAATGCAGGTCATTTCCCACTGCTTTGAGTAATTGCTTCTGGTTTCATATTTGACTAAGATACTCCATTGCTCATTACCTGGAAAGCCTTGTACGTAGACAAAAAATGAGTTTGTTGTTGTTGTGCCTGGTAATCTCAGTTTCTGCTCTCACACTTTCTTTCTTTCTACACTCATACTGCAGTGGAGGTAGAATCCTCAAATTTAAAGCAACTCAAAAATGAGGAAGAACAACTGAAAACATCCATTAGTAGGTAGGATATACAAAGTATGAGTCTAGGAAAATTGGAAGTTGCCAAAAATTAAATACAATGCAGAAAGATTGACATTCTAAGTATTAGCAAGCTGAGATGTACTGATATTGGCCACTTTGAAACAGACAATCATGTGATCTACTCTGCTGGGAACGAAAAAGTGAAGAAGAATTATGTTGTAATCATTGTTAAACAAAAAGAACATTTCAAGATCTATCCTGAAGTATAATGCTGTGAGCAATAGGATGCTATCCATACTCATACTAAGGAGACTTGCTACTATAACTATTACTTAGGAAAATGTACCATAAAGCAAAAGATGGGGAAATGGACAACTTCTACAATTTACAGTATAAAAATCAAATGAGCATGCAATCAAGATTCATTAATAATAACTGCTGACTGGGATGCAAAGGTTGGAAACAACGAAGGACTGGTAGTTGCAAATGACAGACCTGATGAAAGAAACAAGGTTGGAAATCTGATGACTGAATTTTGTACAATTAATGATTTATTCATTGCAAATACTTCTTAAAAAAAAAACAACAGTAACTACACACACATGGACCTCACCTGACAGACTACATAGAAATCAGACTATATCTGTGGAAAGATTTGTGGAGAAGCTCATTATTAGCAGTTAAAACCAGGCCAGTTGACTGTGGAAAAGACTATCAACTACTCACAAAAACAAGTCCACAAGAACCAAAATACCACCTTAAGTATATTCCACCGGAATTTAAAAACTGTATCAAGAATAAGCTTGAAGCATTGAATGCTAATGATCAAAACCTAGAGTGGTTGTGGGATGATATCAAGGTATCATCCATGAAGAAAGTAAAAGATCATTACAAAGAAAGAGGAGAAAGATAAGATCTAACTGGATATCTGAAAATTGCACTAGACTGTCAAGAAGCCAAAACAAAGGGAAGAAATGGTAAAGTAAAAGAAATGAACAGATGTTTTCAAAGGGCAGTGTAAGACAAAGCAAGGTATTATAATGAAATGTGCAAAGAGCTAGTCAGAAAATAAAAGAGGAAGAATTCACTTAGCATTTATCCTGTTTAAGGAACCCCCCAAAAAACCCAAACAAATCTAAGCTTTGAGATGCAATACCGGATGAAGCTATAGGCAAAATTTTGAATGAGGCAGGAAGCATTAAAAGAAAATGGAAGGAATACACCAAGAGTCACTATACCAAAACAACACTGGCTGATATGGAACCATTTCAAGAAACAGCATAAGAACAAGAACCAATCAATGGTAAAGAAAGATATTCACACTGTATTGATGGCACTGGCAATAAAAAGCGCCCCAGGAGTCTACGGGATACAATTGAATGTGCTTATCAGGCTATACCAAGAAATCAAGGAAGACAGTCACTTTGCCGACTGACTGGAAGAGATTCATATTTATTCCCATTCACCAAAAAGGGGATTCAACAGAATGTGGAAATTATCAAACAGTATCATTATCACATGTAAGCAAAATCTTGGTGAATGGCTAGTTTGTGAAACAATGAATGAATGAAAATCCAAAGTCTCTGTAAACTTTCATTAAAATTAATTTTTTTTTAAAAGGCTAGTCTGACACTGACACAGAACTGCGAGAAATTCGGGCTGAATTTAGGTGAGGCTGTGGCATCAGAGATATCTTCGAAGACAAAAAGAATCTTAGTTGAAAGCAAAGAAGCAGAAGAATGTCTACCTGAGTTTTATTGACTATGCAAAGACATTTGACTGTGTGGATCAAAACAAATTACGGCTGGCACTGAGAA